TCTATTTGGTAGATCTATTGAAAATTCTATCAGATCGACGAGAAACACTCTCATATATGTACTCAATGGAGAATTATGTCTACTTTTGTAATTATCATTGTGCAGGTAGAAATTGGATAACTCTAATTTGAACTTGATTTTTGAATTTTTATGAAATTTTAAAGTCTCTAACACTGTATAATTTTAAATTTACATCTTAAGTTATATAAAGTGTGTTTGATATGTTGAAAAGGTGTCACAATTTAAAATTAACAGCATAATTTCATCTTTTGTTGAGTTAGTTAAGGAAATTCAAAGTCATTATTTTATGAGAATTTGCACTTTTCACATTTATTTTTATTTGATAACTTGAATTTTAAAAAAAACATTAATATCTTTATTGTAAGTTGTAAGTTTTTATGTTTTTTTTACTTATTTCAAATAACTATTAAACGTTGTAAATCAATTGATTTAATAAAGTAACAAAACAAATATGGTCAATCAAATGAGATAATAATTTTAGTGGATTTTTTTCTTTAACACTTTCCATGCATCTATTAAAGTACGAACAAAAACACAATAATAACTCAAGGAAATATGTACAATGCACGTGTACAATTATTTTGATTCATTTTAATTTTATTTTTTTAAGATACGTGATTAATAAATATGTCATGTTCCTTTTTCTCTTCTTTTTTTCACAGAGGGGTCTTATATTTGGCTGATAATAAAGGAGCATAAATTCACCTTAACAGTGTTATATTTTTGAGTTGGTTGTATCCAATTGTGCTATTTAAAAATCATTCAGATGCATGATTAATTTTCTTGATTTTGTGAAGTTTTTCAGGTATATTGTATTAGAAAATAAGGTGAAAATTGTTATTTACTCCATTCTAATTTATGTGATGTATATTAACTAGGCATGAAGTTCTAGAAATATGGAAAGACTTAACAAATTTTCAATATACCCAATAAAAGTTTAAAAAAATAAGTACACTTTTATGAATTTTGTTTTGCAAATAAATGAGATCCAACATAGATAAAATATTGATAGTAATTAAATATTTGTCAAATAATAAAATGTGTCATTCTTTTTCTTAATAACTAAACAATAAAGTGTGTTATATAAATTTAAAATAAGAAGATTATTTGTTAATTCATTATTATTATTATTATTGTATATATATATATATACAATAATAATAATAATAATGAATTAACAAATAATCTTCTTATTTTAAATTTATATAACACACTTTATTGTTTAGTTATTAAGAAAAAAGAATGACACATTTATTATTTGACAAATATTTAATTACTATCAATATTTTATCTATGTTGGATCTCATTTATTTGCAAAACAAAATTCATAAAAGTGTACTTATTTTTTTAAACTTTTATTGGGTATATTGAAAATTTGTTAAGTCTTTCCATATTTCTAGAACTTCATGCCTAGTTAATATACATCACATAAATTAGAATGGAGTAAATAACAATTTTCACCTTATTTTCTAATACAATATACCTGAAAAACTTTACAAAATCAAGAAAATTAATCAATTCTATCCTGAACAATATCACAATTATAGCTTGTTAAGCAAATTTAAGACTATTCACAATATTAGTTTACGTTTAAAATTGCGATTTTAAAATATATTTTTTTGAAATTTCAAATTTTAAAATATCTTAATTTCAATATAACTATAATTTACACATAATATGCTTCGTCGGATAATTTGTATTAGTTATTTTTAATTTAAATAAAATTATTCATTTTAAAATATCCGTGCAACGCACGGGTACACATACTAGTATAATTAACAAAAGAAAAGTTAATTAATAAAGAAAAGAAAACAAAAAATTATAATTTATGACATGATGCTGATGTAGTGTTGATGTGGCAGCGAGTGTAATACACCACATAATGTGAGAGTGGTGTTACACGTCTCTGGTAATAAATTCACTTTTGAATAGTTAAGGTGTGTAATAGATCACCATGATAGTTTAAACGTGTAACTGACTTTTTGGGACAAATTTAGGGGGAATCTATGTCTTTTCCCTACATTTAATACACATATATGACTGAAAATCACAACAAAAAACATATACTTATACAACTTACAACCAAGTTAACTTCTTATTTGTATACAGATTCCAAATATATACTTATACAATTGATTCTTATACAATTAATAGTCATAGCAAACATAAATTTTGTTATGAAGCGCAATTATGCAAACTATAGCTATAACATACACATGATTTTTATGTTTGCTAAATCTAAAATTTACTCAAATAGAAATCGGGTTGGGTCATGACCCGCCCAATTTGACCCACTTAATATCAATAATTTTAATATATTATTCTTTAACTTTGATAACCACAATTTGAATTTCAACTCAATTTTAAAAAAAAATACAAATGGATAGATAAATCATAGAGCATGTAAAAATAGATAGTAATTCAAGTCTTCAATATAGGAACATTCATTACAATCAATACAAATAAAGAGTCTTAAAATAGATTAAAATTGGAAATTATATTGAGCTCAATTGAAGATTTTTATAAAATGGGTTAATACTTAAATGCGTTGAGATTGACTCTGATTCAAATTATCTCGAGTCAAACTCATAAAATTCTAGATGAATAACTTGTTACCTATATTTGAGCTCATTTTGACACCCCTCAGCACCGTAAAACAGAGCAGCATCACCATAATTTCCAGGCACAGCATGTTCAAATAAGGTAGTGATCAAATGATAACTTTGTCAAGATATGATTGGGCGAATTGAAATCATTCGCGCTACTTTCATGAAAAAACAAGAAATCAGTGAGACTATTGTTGTCAAGTGGATGAGGTGAAGAAGTTGGTGTGGGGATGAAGTCGGAGTTGTTCATGTTAAATACTGAATTCGAGTTTGAGAATACAACCCCTGTTGAGGACGAATTATTTGGGGTTGAAACCATCTCACGAATGTAGAAATCAGATAGTTCCCCTGCTGTTCCTCCAACTTGTGTTTGCACAGCAAGCAGTAGTTGTTCATTTTGGTTGTTGTTTTCTTGATCACAATTGTGGCTTCCTCCATAGGTAACTTCAAAAGTTAATGGCTCTGTATCAATTCGCCGGATCACCTTAGTAGCCCCACAACAACAAGGAGCACATCGATAATATTTTCTGCATTTCCAAAATTCAATGACATAATGTGAAATCAACCCACAGATAGTGTAGTATCATCCAACCTTTTGGTCAGTTCATTCACGAAATAGATACTCATATTTTTGGTCAAGGAACTTGAGAATAGTACTCACCTGGGATATTTTTCACCTAAGACAAGTCTCTGTCCATATTTCCTCCAACTAAGTCCATCTTCAGGTGGAACTTTTTCTCCGGGTCGAGCTTCTACATACTCTGTCCTTCGTGCCAGCGTCTTCCTATAATCATTAATCATGTAATGTTGAAGTTTCTAACAAGATTTTTGAACCACTAAGATTTAAAGCCATTCATGACACTCTGAATATTCTAAAGATCTAAGCTTAATGTACCACATACCACTTCAATTTCACATTTATTTTGTATACCACAAGGGATGTAAAAATTCTATTCACTATTAACCAGAGTCTAGGGATTGAGTCCTCATCAAAATGTAGTTGTTGTGAACACCGATACTCCAAAGGCTGTAGGCTAAACTACAAAGGGACCCAAGAATTAGACAGCACAATACTAGATTTGTTTCGAATCCAGGTTGAGTAGAGTTTATATGGTTGTCATCTGCGGTTTGGGGAAATGATGCGTATTATGAAGAAACTGTGTGATCTTCTCATCTTCTTTCTAGAGTCTAAACTTCTCATTCCCATTATTATCTCTTTCCTTGGTTACTTGTTACTTCCATTGTAATTCAAGAATTTAAGTGTTGTCGTTGTAAATTTGGCTATCTTATGATATAATATTTGTGTATTTATGTTGAGAATTCTAGTTTGTTTCAGTAATCCTATTTACTAAAAAGCCACGGTGGGCTTTCTCAGGTGTGAATCCAGATTAGACAGTAAGTAAGTTTCGAACACCAGATGGTTACACAATAAAAGAGAGGTGGATGAGATGGAATACCTCTTCCTGGATTTAGAGGGGCGGTCACAACTCTTAGTGCTACTATCAGCGAGAAGATGAGGAGATTCCAGCTGGGACGCACTTGATGAAGACGGTGCTGGATGAATAATTTCTTTACCTTTGCTCATCATCATACCTGATAAAGCTGTGCCATTCAAGAGGGACATAGCTTTGTCATAGGAAGAAAGTATTTCTGCAGCCAAATACTGGCACACATCTTGTTTCATGGGATCAAAGTGTTTTTGTAGTTGCAACATCAATTCCTTCCCCTTTGTTAGCTCAGTAATCAATACTTCTCTCTCCCAACAATTGTTTTCTCCCATTTTCATTTGAGACAAAATCACGAAACTGGCTGACTATGCTCGAACAAAGCTATAGCCAACAATAAACAGATCTGGATATGAATTTGAGACTGATAAGAAAAAGTAAATTGTTAGTTGTACATATAAATTAGTTTGAAGACTTGTTCACCAGTCGGCCTGTCCTTATTGGTAGAGTCAACACATGCTGCATTAGTTGACTATCAAGGCTGTAGGGACTGTTTTGTCTTTTCACCAAAATATACCCTTGTCTCCCTTCTTAGAGCCCGTTTTAATAGGGTGAAAAGTTGATCAAATTACTCCAAGGGTGTGTTTGGTAAAATGTTTTCCAATTTTCTCATATTTGGCTGAGTTAAATGTTTTGGAAAATGTTTTCCAAATCAATTCATTTTCCTCAAATTTAAGGAAAATGACTTTTCTTTAAAACTTAAGAAAAATATTTTCCAAAACTCTCTTCCAAATTCCAATTTTAAAAAAAATTGTTGAAAAAATCAATTTATTTGGTCCCTATCCTCAAACCAGCCCCCCCCAAAAAAAAAAAAAAAATTTAAGTTTGTTTTTAAATTCAATATTTTTACCCCACCCTCACCCCTACCCCCACCCCTT